GTACGGGTACAAGACACTCTCACCAACAAGCGAAAGTGCACAGTGCCTTGGGTTCATCGCCTCCTCCAGTTTCTCGTCTGTCACACCCGGCATGCCGCGTACCCCTTGAATCAACGATTTGTGACTTGACAACATTCCATCCACAATGGCCTGCGGGTCATCCACCTGCCATTTCCACTTCGTTGCCGTGGGGTTAGTATTTAAGCGCCAGCAAAAGACGCAATTGTTTGCACATGCCATGCTTGGGGTGGCCTCCATACAGCGGTGTGATTGAACTCCATACATTGTCCACTTGTAACACCCACCCCTACCACGCATCATGGACTTTTGCCAGCGGCAAAGCTTCACAGCACTATGAGTCCCCACCAGAGAATACATGGATCCCAGCGTGGCGCGGCGTCTCTCCGACAGCATTGGCCGGTTCGCTATTTTTTCGATAACATTCATTGCTATATTCACTACAGACAATTGTGAAAAGGAATAAACACAGCGGAGGATACGTTTCGTTCTTGTAGGGGGCTCTTTTTTTTTTTTGCTTTCTTGTTTTCCCCTCAGGCCGTAAAATAAAGATGTTGCCCAAACGTCATTGGGCGTTGTTGACGGGTTGGGGGTTTACTAAATGAAATCCCTGGCGATTTCATGCACGACTGCATCAAAGAGTTGCCAGGGCCAATTGCACACACACACACACACACACTTCTATTATCCGGTGGGAATCCAGTAGCCAGCAATGCTTCCCCTCATGGGATTGTTGTTGTTGGCGCAGGGCTGACGGCATCGACAAGCGCCCGGACCGGCCGCGTATGACTGAGGCACGCAGTTGTAAGCGCCATGAGGTGTGAAGGCACGTGTTACCGCAGTGCGGGTCATCAAATTCATTTGAGAAAACACGAGAACAACAACAAACAAACAAAAAACTAGATGTGGAATTCCTCATGAAATTACGCCCGGCAGTAATCATTTCCTTTGCTTTCACTCTCCTTCTTTCTTTCTGTGTGTATGTGTGTGTCCATCACTGACACGCAATTGTACGGACCAGCAGACATGTTTTTAATGTTTCATTTTTACTCATCTCAAAGCGCAAGCACTGAAAGTGCTGCGAAGTAGTCCAGTGGGGTAACGACAAAACGGTACAAAAAGAATACGGCCACACCAAAGCATATAGATATAGGCAACGCGGGGAGAGCGGGAAAGCGACTTTTGTACATCAGCAACATTGTCAAAGTGGCCACCAGACCAAAACAAACGGCTACGGTGGACGCTGCCCATGGCATAAATGCGTATAAAGCTGCTCTAGCACTTAACACGCTATAGAATATAAAATCACCCAGACCTAATTTGAATGGACTACGGTCCAGTGCATAGTAAAGGCGAGGCACAGATGTCATTTGAGAAGATGTTTTGGAATCAGCATCGTTGCTACTATTATTTTCACGTGGTCCATCCCGTGTATGCATGTCCTCGCCAGGGGGTACTCCCACACGTTCTGCTTTTTGCATCGATGGATTCGCATTTGAATTATACACAAATCCGGGCAGCGGTTCATTTCTTTTCTCTGCAATCTGAATGAGCATCTTAAGTGGCCCCCGCGGGCTTAGTACAGCAACCATATCGTATAGCGCGACAAACACAAGCATTGACCATGTGCTCCACTCTGAAAAAAACGTCATTGACCAACCCACAATGACTGACACCACCACCAGATAAACCTGCGCAAGGACGGGGTGTGCGTAGTAAAAAATAGAGACAAGCCCAACAATACCAGCGTTCCAAAGTAAAAATGAGGATGTAATAAAGTCGTATGGTATCTGAAACCGCGTACAGAAGAGATCCATCCACATCCACGTCATGAAGAAAAGCGTAAATCCTGCCGAAAAGAACAAAACTGCAAAAAGAACCTTCTCACAATGACACGCGTATAACAACACCATTAAAAATGTCATAACGGTCAGCATTGCAACAAGAATCAAGGCATTCACTATGGAAGAACCAATCTTGCTCCGAATGGTGTCATGCGCTTCTTCATCCATAAAGGAAAAAATGGGTGAAAATTGCTGGTCAGCAATCAAACTGGAGAGATTCAATACACTCCATGAAACTAAAAGCATACATGCAAACACAGGTACAAGCAGTGCCGCAATGCGCCTTCCTAGAAGAAAGGCCACACCGTCTATCGGTATTTTCTGCTGCATCTCTGAGAAGCCCCTGACTCAACTGAAGGCCTTAAAAAAAAAAAAGATAAGATAAGAGGAAAACACGCATTACAAATCAACAAGGAGTACGCATATGAGGCCCAAAGATAACGGTAAAAGAAGCACGCAAAGATAATATATATGCAGTTAAAAATAATGGCGGGATAAAAGAAGACACAATACCTTCCCTCTCCCTTTCTTTTTTCATTTTGCTTAGTACCCTTCTTTTTCTTGTTCTATTTTATTTTTGCCCCTAGAACAACAACAACAAAAGCAACAGGCTTTCGTGTGGGACGCATGCAACGAGGCGGCAGAGGTTAGGGAAAACATACATAATACGTGCCCTGCATTATCCGACGCAGACAAGCCCCCCTCCTTTTTCCTCCTGCTCACTCCGTTGCCTCCCGTACAAACACTTCCCCGCCCTGAGGAGGAAAGGGAAAAATAACGGGTAAAAAACAACAACAAAAAACAAAAACCAATGCACATTAATGGATCAAAATCACTATTTTTCCTAGCCTTTCAATCCACTCACACCACCCCTCATTCTCCCTTTTGCTTGCAATTTTGCACGCCTCTCCTCATCCTCCTTCCAATTATAAGCCCCAGCGGTAGGATCCACGCACGGAACACAATTAGACAAATCGCTAAAACAAATAAGAAAACAAACAAAGAAACAAAAAAAAAAAAAAAAAAAAAGAAGAAAAATTTGCTTATATACGGCTGCAATGAACACTACGACAGCGACGGGGGTACAAGTGCGCCTGGAGGCTTATGCCGGATGTAGAGAAACAGGGGCTTGATCATTCCAACAAAGAACACCAATGCTGTTACCAATGCAATCATAGAAAATGTCATTAGTCCTTTACTTTCCTGAAATGGGACCTTCACATTCATGGTAAACAAACCGGGAATAATAGAAATTGGCATTGCCACCATCATTACTTCTGTCAAGACAGTGCTCACAAAATCCATCCAGTAGCAGTGTTGTAACAATCGCATCGACACTCCACTTACAAGACTCATACTTGACAGATTAAGAACATCGCGGCCTTTTCGAAGATGTTCAATGGAAAGTAGTAAACCAGAGAGCAGTCTCTGGTAACGACTCAAAGCACCGGAGTCTGCTGTAATAAAAATGCGGCGCATTACCGGCAACAACAACTGTTGAATAAGTCGCTCTTTAGCCAAAAATGTTGTTTGTACTCGAGTGAGTCTGTGGCGCAGATCCTCAATACGGCGCAGTAAGTCCATCTGATCGCATTGAGAGGGTTGAATTTGAAGCACCAACTCATTCACATTGTCCACTTCGACAAGCAAAGAAGATGGTTCCTTCTGGTATTCCTTCACGAACGCAGTAATGAGGGAACACACAAGGATCGACACGGG